TCTCTCTCTCTGTCTGTGTGTGTGTCTGTCTTTCTTATACAATATATAATCTTTACAAATAATATGTTTATATCATATATCGTTTATACTTCAGTTTACTCTTGGAACGTAGTCTCATATGTTTATCTACGCTTGTTTCTCTGCCAGCTTATCAGGCACTACATGCACAGACCCGCACGTATACGACAATTAATTCTCCATATTATGTTTCTACTGGTTCTGCTTGACCAGCTTTATACCTAGATCAACAACAACAACAACAACAACAACAACAACAACAACAACAACAACAACAACAACAACAACAACAAGAGCAACATCAAGAACTTCAGCAGTAGCAGCAGCAGCAACAACTACAGCAATAATCGAAAGAGTGATAAGATCATCTTGACGATAGAAATCTAAAACTTTTTAAAGACAACCGTAACCTTGATATTTGGTCTAGAATTTCCATAGTAGAGGTACTTTTTCTCTCCCTATAACTAAAACGCAATATTAAAACCTAAAGACGCCAAATTTCGTGAAGAAAACACTCTATCCGGAGTGCACGTACGTCGTGCATTGCTGGAAACGGCCTTACGACTGAGCAACAGATTTGGGCACCTAGCCAAAGCCGTGTGGCTAGCAGGCTGGCTGGGATCAAAGAATTGGGAATATCCTACCCATATTCCGAGTAGCCTTATCACACACCGAGATGACGCTTCCCGTTACCCCTCGAGGGCACGGTGAAACCAAACAGAAGCCTGGCCCGAGCAGAACCTAGACGTCCGATGGTTGTGTGTCTTTGAAAGGGGAGGCTGATATTTTCAAGAGCTTTGAAGTGCCGCGGGGTTTAGGGAAAGGAAAGTTTAAGGACCCTGAGGGGTGGAGTGTGAGTTCTCGAAGAGATGTCATATAGCCTGAGAGAAAACAGAAGGTGGTGGATTTGTAATGCTGTTATTGTCAGAGAGGTTGTTTTGGGGTAATAATATTATATCATGAAATTATCTCTCAAGTCCGTTTGGTTGGTCTGGGGAATAATTGGAAGGCGTTCATGAACGCATGCAGGCTCTCACGCGTTCGTGTGATTGTGTGTGTGTATGAGTGTGTGTGAGCGTGTGTGTGCGCGTGTGTGTGTGCGTGTGAGTGTGAGTGTGTGTATGTGTGTATGTGTATAAGTGTGTTAGCGTGATTAAGGGTGTAGTATGTTTGCTAGCGTGTGGTGTGTATGTGAGTGTGTGTTTGCTTATGCGTTTTTATGTATAAAAGAGTGTGTGTGTATGTGTGTGTGCTTATGTGTGTGTGTGCATGTGTGTGTATTCGAGAAGTCCTTTTCCTGCTGTGTTAGCAACCGTTAGAGTGATGCGT